GGATCTTGTATAGTAACCACTGGCTGGACATATTTGACCAGACCTGGAACCTTGATATTCCACATTCCAGGGCCTATTAAGTCTTCTATTTCAACTTCAGATTCAATCTGTCCCTTTCTGTTTTCTGTTAAAATCATTTGGCGATGAGGGTGGTTCATTTCCCCTTCCAGAAACAGAGTGGCCCCTAACTTAGTTAATAAATCTCTTCCCATTAAAGGGATGAGGCAATCAGGCACAAACAGAACTGAGTGTAAAAACAACTGACCATTAGCATTGCACAAAACAGGCTCCAGAAAATTGTGTCCTTGTTTCTTCCCTGACAACCCGATTACATATTCCTTATGATTGCTAAAGTTTCCAATCCTTTGGGTTAAGACTGAGAAGGTTGCACCAGTGTCTATAAGAAATTCTACCAAGCGGCTGGCCACATCAATGATCACCTGAGGCTGAACATTAGTTATGTAGACAGTATCTCTAGGCAGAGCCACTTTTGGCCTTGTGTCCCATTGGTCTTCTAATTGCAAAACCATCAATGTTTGAGGGGCCCCTGTCGTCCCTCTCTGGCGTCTGGGGCATTCCCTCTCCCAGTGCCCTGGCTGCTTGCAAAGGACACATTGACCACAGTCCTTCCTCCAGTGCCCCTTTGTCTACACAGGATACACCAGCCTTGTATGGGTACCCATGGACCTTGTGGTCTGCCAGGACAAGATTGGCCCAGAAAGGGCAGCCTCCTAGTTGGCTTTGAGCAGACAAAGCCATTGCAATCATTTGGGTCTCTTGCATATTTCTCTAGGTGCGTTCAGCCTTTTCAGAAATATCCCTATTATTGAAAACCAAATAAACCAATTGGAGCAAATCATTCATTGGAGTCTGAGGACCAGCAGGTGCTTTCTGAATTTTGTGCCTGATGTCTGGGGCAGACTGGGCTATGAAATGCATAGCCAAAAGGGCCCATCCTAAAAGCTTCCACTAATCTCCTTTGGAAGACTTCAGGATTTTCATCCTGTCCCTGTTGGACCTCTTTCACCTTTTCATAATTAACAGGTTTTACTGTAAGTTTCTTCATACCCTCTATTAAACAGTTAATCATATGATCCAGTCTATCTAGAATTTAGCAGGTAATTCCATTTAGCTGGTAATTCCTCAGTGACAGCATCCTTCCCCACCCTGTGCACTGCATGGTCCTGTCATGGGCTGCCCAGGGCTCTGGCTGCCAGTATGATACCCTGCTTTTCCTCTGGGGTGCAGCAATGGGATAGTAAAACCTGTAAGTCCTCCCAGGTGAGATCAAAAGATCTCACTAGTCGGGTAAATACTCTTGTAAAACGTTCAGGATCCTCAGAAAAACTTCCCAACTTGTCCTCTGCCAAACTTAGATCAGATATTGAGAAAGGTACATAGACTCTTATTGTTCCTCGATTTCCATCAGGAACTTCTCTGAGAGGCAAAACTGTAGGGACAGTTGGTTGGTAACTTATATCATTGATAGTACTAGCTGAGCTAAGGATGGACCCTTTGGGTAACTCAGGGTACAAAGAGATTCCTGAATATGGGTGGGGCCTCTTTTCATCCCTAGCTGTGTCTTCCCCTGAGGCAATGGTTCCTCCCTGTAGGGGAAAAGTAGCTCTGGCTTCTCCTTGTAAAGGATTTAACCTTTGAAAGTGTGACTGTGAAAGTCGCTCAGTAATGTCCGACTCTTTGCGACCCCATGGACTATACAGTCCATGGAATTCTCCAGGCTAGAATACTGGAGTTGGTAGCCTTTCCCTTTTCCAGGGGATCTTCCCAATCCAGGGACTGAACCCAGGTCTCCTGCACTGCAGGCGGATTCTTTACCAGGTGAGCCACTTTGGATGGCCCTAAAGGGTAAGTCAGTCTTTGTGTCCTTACTAGAATTATCCCTCTGAGCTACACACACCTTAAATCCCTTGTGGGTGTCATTGTCTATATACAAGGCCATGAAAATTTGAACATTTAGATTTCCTTCTACAATATAAATCTAGCTGCAATATAGTGTCATAACTCAGGGACCCATTTAGTGGCCACTTTTCTTGGCTTTCTAGCTCATATTGTGGGTAAACATGATTACATAGCCTAACAAGTTTCTTTGGTTTTAATCCTAGTAGCCCAAATCTTTTCCAATCCTGTAGGATAAGACCCAGGGGGTATTGGTTGGGATTGATGCCACCTGACCCATTTCAGACCCAAACCTGAGATGATGTCTCTAACTCATGTTCTATCCAAAATTTTACCCTTAAGTCAAAACCTACCATACAATTTGGTCAAGATTTGCACTTACGATTTTAGATGCTATCCCTTCCAAGGGAGTCTCCCAACCAGTTGTTAGTGCCCAGAATTTGTCACAAAGAAATGGCACAAAGACCTCCCCCATGGTGTTGACAATGAGCTGGAGGTGGTTTAGCTATAAGTTGAGAATAAAGGGCCAACACTTGTAAGGGTTAGAGAGAAGGGAATAAAAGCAATCTTCTGGGGTTAACAGAAGGAACAGAGCAGAAATGAACAAGAAAAAAAAATGTAGAAGAAAAACCTCAGAATCAAGGAAAACAGTATAATTTTGTCCTGGACCTGCTGTTGAACATGCTTAAGCATACACGATTGACCTGCCAGGCACAAATGAGCAGACAAGAGCAGAGCATTTTCCTCAGTATACCTAGCTCATGGTGTCCCAGGGACCTCTTTAGGACCAAGACCTGACTCTAAACCTTTTCTTACCTTATTACCCGCCCTTCGTGGTCACCAGCTGAAACCGTTTGCCACAGATTGGGACTATTCTGCTGGTCAATCTCTGGTTGTCACTCATTGTCCCCTGTTTGGTTTTCAGCTCTTCCGTTACTTGCATAATCCATTCCCTGCATTTTTATAGTCCTTGTTTGTTTGTTATTTTTTTGGCTGTGCTGCATGGCTTGTGAGATCTTCTTTCCCTGACCAGGGATTGAACTTGGGCCACCACAGTGAAAGAACTGAGTCCTACCCACTGGACCACTACAAAATTTTCATTCCTTCTATTTTATTTAATTATTAAAGAATCGGAGGATAATTGCTTTACAACGTTGTATTAGTTTCTGCTGTAGAACAAAGTGAATCAGCTACAGGTATACATATATCCCCTCCCTGTTGAGCCTCCCTCCCACACACCCCTCCCACCCTCTGTGCTACAGAGCAGCTTCCCACGAGCTATTTATTTTACACATGGTAATATATATATACTGTTCATGGGGTTCTCAAGGCACGAATACTGAAGCGGTTTGCCATTCCCTTCTCCAGTACGTATATGTCAATGCTACTCTCTCAATTTGTCCCCATTTCCTGTATTTTAAATACTCAGAGCAGTTTCTATTTTCTGGTGAGACTCTGACTGATACACCAACAAAGAAAAACAAACTAGGATTGGACTTTTCATCTAGGACAAAGAAAGCTAGAAAACACTAGAATACCATCTACAGAATGCTGGGAAAAGAGAACAGTTAGCTAAAAATGCTATACCCAGCTGTGACAGGCTGCTTCTAAAATGGCTCCCAATTGATCCTCACCTCCTGGTATTTTCTCCCTTATCTAATTTCCTCCCCTTGGGTGTGTGTTGGCCCTAACAACTTGTTTATAATGAATAGACTATGGCAGAGGTGATGTCACTTTCATAATGAGGGTATGAAAGAGTGTGGCTTCTGTTTTGCTCGCATTCTCTCTCTGACTGTTCTTGTCCTCTGATGTAGAGAGCCACCTGGCAAGGACCCGAGACCCTCAGTCCAACAGCCAACAAAGAACTGAATCCTGCCAACAACCACGTGAGTGAGCTTGGAGTGGATCCTCTTCCAGCTGAGCCTTGAGATGAGACTGCAGCCTCCACTGACACTTTGACTGCATCCTGTCAGAGATGCTGAGTGGACACCTTGATTGCAATCTCCTGAGAGATTCTGTGGCAGATGACCCCCGTAGGACCATGCCTGTAATCCTGACCCACAGAGACTGTGAGATCATCAGTGTGTGTTGCCACTACATGTTATTTTTTAAAAAGTGGAATTCAAGACTGAAAGCAATAAACGAGACAAAGGGAAGCATACATCATTCAATCCTCGATGAAGAGATGAACCATTAACCTTTATGTACTAAATTATTACAGTGGCTTAAGATTGAAAACACCCCATGTGCCACAAGAACTGAGCCTGTACTCTAGAACCTGGGAGCTGAAAATACTGCGCCCATGTGCCCACGCACTCTAGGGCCTGGGTTCCACGAGAGAAGCCACCACAAAGGAGAAGCCCCATACACCACAACTAGAGAGTTGCCCCCACTACTAGAGAGGCCCCCACTCACTGAGAGTGCCCCCACTACTAGACAGTCACCCCCATTCACTGCAACTAGAGAAAAGCCAGTGGAGCAATGAAGACCCAGCACAGCCAAAAATAAATACTTAAAATAATAAGTTTAAATGATATTAAAATAAATAAATTTAAATAAATAAACATTATTTTTAAAAGATTTGAGCAAAAACTCTAAGAAACACAGGAAGACTTTGATTAAAAAAACACAGCCATAATGGGAGATTATTATATATACTTCGTTCAGAATTTGAATGATCAAGTAGACAAAAAATAAACTAGAGAATACATGATCTGATCAATCTAACCAACAAGCAACAGTGTATAATCTTACATATGTCCCTATGCATTTAAAAATGTAAATTATTTTCTAATGTCCTTCGATTGTGTGCTTCATCACAGAGGAAAAACTTCATAAATTTAAGAGATTTTAGGGGCTACACTTTCTCATTATAACCCAGTAAAATTATACATAAATAAAAGGTAGCCAAAATATCTTTACTACTTGGAAATCAAGAAACATTAATTTAGTCCTAGGTTAAGAGAAAATTAAAATGGAAGTGATACAATCTTTAGCAAGTAACAAAAAGATGAATTTTTTTTTAGGTAGATAGGAGATTCATATTTTATTTCTCCACTGACATATTTACAGCTGGATATAAATTAAAGACCTGCTTGCACACCAAACCCAGGTCCTTTCGGTGGTTCAGTCAAAGAGGTAAGACCTCCAGCTGGCTCACAGGAGAAGCGTCCACTCCTTGGCCCAGGTTTGGGGATTTTGCCAGCCTTGAGTTCATCAATAATTTCTTCAATATCTTTAGGTGTCAGATCCTCATAGTAGTTGTCATTTATTTGAACCATTGGTGCATTTACACAGGCCCCTAAACATTCCACTTCTATAAGAGTGAAAAGTTTGTCAGGTGTAGTCTCTCCAACCCTTATTCCAAGTTTTTTCTGAATGGCTTCCAGTATGCTGTCTGAGTTTCAGAGCATACAAGGCGTAGTAGTGCAGACTTGAATGTGATACTTTCCAACAGGCTTTCGATTATACATTGTATAAAAAGTTGCTACTTCATACACTCTCATTGGAGGTACTTGTAAAATTTCTGCAACTTTGTTCATAGCAGAGATGGGCAGCCATCCATTCTGTCTCTGGGCTAAATCCAGAACTGGAAGCACAGCTGCTGCTTTATGCCCTTCCGGGTAGTTTTTCACAATGGCCTCTATCCTCTTATAGTTTTCTGGTGTGAAATCAAATGGAGTTTCTGGGTTATTCTCAGGAGTATCTCTGTGCACTAATAAGGCTCCTCCAGCTCCATTCTGAACAGCTGTCTTATGCAGATTTCTTATATGTTTTCCCCAGTGGGCGGCGAGGCCGGGCGTGCGGGCCTGTAGCTCCGGAGAGAGGAACATGGCTGGCCAAACTGCGGGGCTCTGGGCCTCGCCGGGCCAAGATGAATGTTTTATGTCAAAAGCTATGGGATCACTTAAAGCTTTATTCAGAAGAAGAAAATTTATAGCTATAAGTCAGGAATCACAAATATGTTCAGGGCCTAGGTTGGTGATGTAAGTGTAGGAAGTGGCTAGATGTAAAAACAGAGATGGGTCCTGTGGAGAGTTAGAAGGTTCAGGTCAGTTCAATTCAGTCACTCAGTCGTGTCCGACTCTCTGTGACCCCATGGACTGCAACACGCCAGGCCTCCCTGTCCATCACCAACTCCTGGAGTTTACTCAAACTCATGTCCATTGAGTTGGTACATGACTGCCCTAAAAGCCCTGAAGTCCGCCATTTTACATGCTTTTAGTATTAAAAAAAAAAAGGAAAATATGCAAAATAATTAACCTATTAATACTAAGAACACAGCTGCAAAGCTATAAAATTACTAAAAGAAAATAAGCAGGAATTAATCAGGATAAAGCTCAAATTAGTGAAACAGAAAATTGTCACAGGTTGAGTTCTCTGGGAAACAGATGCTGAGGAATTAAGGGTCCAAAATCTTTATTGAGGAGTAACATCTGTGAAGACTAAGTCCCTGCCAGCCCACTGGGGAGCTTCATAGCAAAGACTACCCATCAGAAAGTTCTTTGGGGAGAAAAGGCTCTGCCCAGAGGGAGAAATATCAACAACCTCAGATATGCAGATGATAGCACTCTAAAGGCAGAAAGTGAAAAGGAACTAAAGAGTCTCTTGATGAGGGTGAAAGAGGAGAGTGAAAAAGCTGGCTTAAAACTCAACATTCAAAAAACAAGATCATGGCATCTGGTCCCATCATTTCATGGCAAATATATGGGGAAAATGTGGAAACGGTGACAGATTTTATTTTCTTGGGCTCCAAAATCACTGTGGATGGTGATTGCATGAAATTAAAAGACACTTGCTCCTTGGGACAAAAAAAGCTATGACAAACCTAGACAGCATATTAGAAATCAGAGACATCACTTTACCAACAAAGGTCCGTATAGTCAAAGCTATGGTTTTTCCAGTAGTCACATACAGATGTGAGAGTTGGACCATAAAGAAGGCTGAGTGCCAAAGAATTGATGCTTTTTGAACTGCGGTGTTGGAGAAGACTCTTGAGAGACCCTTGGACAGCAAGGAGATCAAACCAGTCAATCCTAAAGGAGATCAGTCCTGGGTGTTCATTGGAAGGACTGATGCTGAAGCTGAAGCTCCAGTACTTCGGCCACCTGATGTGAAGAACTGACTTATTGGAAAAGACTCTGATGCTGGGAAAGACTGAAGGCAGGAGGACAAGGGGATGACAGATGATGAGATGGTTGGATGGCATCACTGACTCAATGAACATGAGTTTGAGCAAACTCCAGGAGATAGTGAAGGACAGGGAATCCTGGGGTGCTGCAGTCCATGGAGTCGCAAAGAGTTGGAGGACACGACTGAGTGTCCTCAACAAGAACAGTGCCACCACACTGCCAGGTCATTAACTTTGGGCATCCAGAGAGGATTCTGACCCTCAGCTCAAAATCTGAGGTGAATTCTGAAGATGTTAACAGCTATTAGCACTCCTTGCACCTGGACCACTACTCCTTTCTTGAAGTGGGATCTGAGCTGCACCTCCCTATGTCTGCCACAAAACCTACAAAAATGGTACTAAAAAAAAACACCTCACGGACTTCTCTTGTGGCTCAGTGGTGAAAAGTCTACCTGCCAAGGTAGGAGATGTGGATTCGATCCCTGGTCTGGGAAGATTCCACATGCAGCAGAGCCAACTAAGCCCGGGTGCCACAGCTATTGAGCCCATGCTCTAGAACTCACACTTTGCAACAAGAAAAGCCACTACAATGATAAGCCTGAGCACTGCAACTAGAGAGTAGCCCTGCTCTCCACAACTAGAGAAAATCTTGTGTAGCAATGAAGACACAGTTCAGTTCAGTTCAATCGCTCAGTCGTGTTCAACTCTTTGCGACCCCATGAATCGCAGCACGCCAGGCCTCCCTGTCCATCACCAACTCCCGGAGTTTACTCAAACTCATGCCCATCAAGTCTGTGATGCCATCCAGCCATCTCATCATCTGTCGTCCCCTTCTCCTCCTGCCCCCAACCACTCCCGGCATCAGGGTCTTTTCCAACGAGTCAACTCTTCGAATGAGGTGGCCAAAGTACTGGAGTTTCAGCTTTAGCATCAGTCCTTCCAATGAACACCCAGGACTGATCTCCTTTAGAATGGACTGGTTGGATGTCCTTGCAGTCCAAGGGACTCTCAAGAGTCTTCTCCAACACCATAGTTCAAAAGCATCAATTTTTCGGTGCTCAGCTTTCTTCACAGTCCAACTTTCACATCTATACATAACGAAGACACAGCACAGCTAAAAAATAAATTAAAAAATTTTAAAAGCCTCATGAAACCCCAAATCAAAAGCTGGATTGAAAAAATTAATTTAATTAATTAAAGCTTCCACTTCTTTCTCTGTGTGCACAATTTGCAAAACTGTTCTTCAGTGGAATATGCATGCACAAATCTGGAAATAGTGGACTTTTACAATTTGTTAAATGATATATCAGGCAAAAACAAGTAGCATTCAAAGAACTGTCTTCCATGGTGGGGCCTTTAAATTCCTCGTCTTTTAAAGTCAAACTTTTTTTTAAAATTATTTTTTATTTTATATTGGAGAATAGTTGGTTTACAATGTTGTGTTAGTTTCAGGTGTATAGCAAAGTGTTTCACTTATACAGATACCTATCTCCATTCTTTTACAGATTCTTTTCACATATAGATTATTACAGAATACTGAGTAGAGTTCCTTGTGTTATACAGTAGGTCTTATTAGTTATCTATTTTACCTATAGTAGTGTATATGTGTTAATCCCAATCTCCTAATTTATCCCTCCCCTCTAAAGTCAAACTTGAGATGCCAGCCTTCCTTCTACTGCCCTGCAAATAAGGAAGCACTTTTTCATGACTTGAAATTAAGAGAGGGCTATTCCTACCAGAAAATAAAAGAGGAATATTCTGTTTGAAGTTTCAGTGTCCCCTGAAGATTCAGAGCTCCAGCTGCCCAACTCACTGAGATTTCCTGCCAGTTTCTACACTGATTTGCCTGGGCATTATTCAAACAGGAAAAGCTCCCAGTCATTCCAATTTTCTGGAGTTTCGTGATAACATTTAATAACAGCAGGTGAGGTATATTACATATATTGTATTAAGGAATTTTTTCAAAGAACTGCTAAAGTATATGGGTCCAACTGTTTTATTAGTGCTCCTACACGTTTCATCTAGATTAGATTCCAGATATGGAATCTATGGAATCAATGGATCCATAATTGCCTTCAGAGATTCAGAAGAGTAACTGTTCAGAACCTTTGGCCTATGACAGAAATAGAAGAAAGTGCATTGTCCAGTATGGTGACCACTAGCCACATGTGGCTTTTGAGCACTTGGAATGTGGCTAATCCAGCTAATGTGCTGGAAGTATAAACACACACAAGATGTCAAAGACTTGGTATGAAAAAGGAGAAAGAATGTGAAATAACTTGTGACTTGCATACTGATAAATATTGATACATTTTGGATATATTGGAGCAAAGACATTGTGATTCATTTGACCTGTTTCTTTTAACTTTGTTATAAGATTTTTTTTGATGTGGACCATTTTTAAAGTCTTTATTGAATTTGTTACAATATTGTTTCTATCTTTTGGATTTTTGGACACTGAGGCATGTGGGATCTTAGCTCCCCAGCCAGGGATCAACCCATACAATCCGAATTGGAAGGCAAAGTCAACCACTGGACTGCCCAAGAAGTCTCTCTTTTAATTCTCTAAATGTGGCTCCTAGAGCATTTAAAATGCACACTTAACCTACTTTGTGACTCCCATTATATTTCTATTGGACCGTGCTATTTACTAGATATTTACTGTAGTTTCCTGAATTCCTGGGCTTCTCTGGTTCTCAGTGGTAAAGAACCCGCAGGAGACACAGGTTTCATCCCTGGGTGGGGAAGATCCGCTGGAGAAGGAAACGGCAACCCACTCCAGTATTCTTGCCTGAAAAATCCTATGGACAGAGGAGCCTGGTGGGCTACAGTCCATGGGATCGCAAAGAGCCGAACACGATTTAGCAATCTGAACGTAACGAACTTGAAAGTTGCTCAATCTTGTCCGACTCTTTGCGACCCCATGGACTATACAGTCCATGGAATTCTCCAGGCCAGAATACTGGAGTGGGTAGCCTTTCCCTTCTCCAGGGGATCTTCAAAACCCAGGAATCCAACCCAGGTCTTCCGCATTGCATCGCGGGCAGATTCTTTACCAGTTGATCCACCAGGGAAGCCCTAAAAACAACCTGCATTCCTATTTTTTTGACTCGTTCCAAGTTCCAGGCAGCACAGGAATGATGGCACTCCCATCTTTACTGCTTGCCATGGCTTTAACAGTATAAGACCAATGTAAGCCAATACAGGGCTCATCTTCAGTTCTCCAAAAATCTACCGATTAACAGGGAAGTCCTACAGAGGTGTCCTGTCTCCCTTCACACTGAAAAGTGCAGGGAGACAGAGGAGCACATGATGGGAACGCCATAAGCCCGGGCAGCAACAAAACCCGCAGTAAGTCATCCAGCACCGGCTGCGATAATGGCTCCGGCGTGTCTGTTTGTTGACCGACAGGGTGAATGCCAACCTCCTAGCGGTGCATTCGGCTGAGGTCCTGCGGCTGCGTACCCTTGGGTACCGCCGCATCCCTCGGTCGGATACACGGTGCAGGAGGAGGGACCGAGCGCCGGCGGCATCAGGAGGGACCAGGCACCGCGAGCCCCGCCCTGGGTGGGGGTTGGGGGTGGGGGGAGGAGGAGGAGGAGGAGGCGGCGACAAAGAAGGAGGGGATAGCATCCGGGGCGGCAATGCCGGAAGATGGGGCTCGCCGCTCCTTCTCCAAACCCGGAAAATCCTGGTTCGGGTCTTCGGAGTTCTCGCCCCTCCTTGGCCGGTGTGATGCCACCGAGCCGCCCCTGCCTCCCCCTTCCCTCCGCTCCGAGTGACGCGGGTATCCGGGCTCCACGCCCGCCCAGCTCCCGCCCGCCCGCTCCCCAAAGCCGGTTTCTTTCTTTTTGTGAAAGAAACAGTCAGCTCCAGGCTAGCCGGTCTGAGGTACAGAAGAAGAAAAGGGGGAGGGGAGGGAGGAAGGGGGTAAAATATTATTAATGATAAAGTAGACCAAAAAGCAGATAGATATAGAGGGTATTAAAAGACTTTTTAAGGGAATATAGAGTGTGAATATATCAAAGGAATGGTTGCTTTCCTGGCAAGCCATAAGCTAGTAAAACTGACGCAAGAAAGAAAACTCAAAGAGAGCACTAATTATAGAAGAGAACGGAAAGTCAGCAGGTCCAGTTAACTACAAATAAGTTCTAGCTGACCTTTCAAAGTAAATAATTTTAACGTTATTTCGTCCATTCTAGACCATTGTTTTTCAAAATATCTGCGTGAAGGACTAATTTTTTTAAAGTTACAATTATCGTGGATATATACTTTGTAGAATTCAATAAAAATAACTAGAAAAACGAAATCATAAGCAAAGCAAGTTCAACTTAAAAAATGTAAGCTTCCTCAAAGATAAATTACATTTTACATTTCAAAAAATACAATCAAAACAGATTTAACATAGGAACAAAACATTTACAAAATCTGAATGCATCATTCATTGATGATCACTGCTTGGATGTCATAGCGATGTCAAATTGCTATAAAAGTTTTTAAACCCTTTCAGTTTCTGTACTTATCTCATCATGGACTGGTAACAGTTCAGAGACTGGCAGCGGTCCTAACGCCACACACAAAAAAGGAAAGATCCCCAATTCATTTTGTAAAGCTAGCATAGCCTTACATATAGTAATACTTTATTAAAATATAATATTTGTACAAAATATACACATATAAATTCCAAGTAAAATATTCATAAACTGATCTAGCAGTGTGGCAAAAGAATAATACTCTGTGACCAGGTGGTATTTATTTCACAAAGATAATTCAGCATTAGGACCTCTATCAACTTCTTCATGACATGAAACAATTACAAGAGAAAACATATAGTATTGTGTCAATAGAAACTGAAAATGGATTTAAGAATTCAGCAGCCATTCCTAATAAATATTCAAAGTAAAATAGAAATTAAAAGAAACTACTTAAATGTGATCAAGATTGCTTACCAAAACTCAACAGCCAATATACTAAATGATGAATAAATAAAGTCAGTTTCATTAAAATCATGAATGAGAGAAGGATGCTGTCATCGCTATTATTCAGTGTTGTCTTGGATGTTATAACCAATACAATAAAATAAGAAAATGAAATAATATGTGTAGCAGATTGTTAGTTACCTTCAAAAAATATTCTCTTCTTTCTTGGAAATACAGTTTTAGCTAAGGACATAACTGAGAGAGTACATTTCCCTGTTTCTCTTGAAGCTAAGTGCAGCCATATGACTGTTTGCACCAGTGGAATATGCTCAGACATGATGAGGTCAATGTACCCCTCAGTTGCTTAAAAGGAACTTATTTACCCTAGACTTTTCTTCCAACCTGCTCTGCAGAGGCTGGAATATAGAAATAACTGTAACTCTGTTTCAGTTGTGCTCATGAGTACAACACCTCAGTAGATGGCAGGGCAATAGGATGAAAGGAACATGGGTCACTAATAACTTGGAGGAGCAAGGGTGTTGCCCCAGCCTGGATTGGTCAACGACTGTGTAAGAAAAAAATTAACTTTCATCTTATTTGTACCACTATATTTCTCTCTCTCCTCTCTCTCTCTCACAGTTGTGTTTAGATTTTACTACAGCTAAAACAATAGAAATTCACATTAGAAAAAAAATGATTGGAAATTCCCTGGCTGTCCAATGGTTAGGACTTCAAGGTTTCACTGCTGAGGGCCAAAAAAAAAGAAGGCAAATTATGCTATTTAGAAAATTATATTCAAAGACTTCCCTGGCTTTGGTGGTTAAGACTCTGCACTTCCAATGCAAGGGGCGAGGGTTTGATATACTACGGAAATTTGTCCTTTGTGATATTAGTTGCAAGTATCAGATATTATCAGATATTAAAAGTACCATAAAATCTCCATAATTAAAATAGTACAGCATCAGTATAGGAATAAAAAGACATCAGTGGAGTATTATTGTCCAGAAACAAAATGCAAATATGCAAAGTAAATTGATAGATAAGAAATCAGCACTTTAATGCAATGATTTGACAAGTAGATGTTGGCACAGTTGGGTATCCACATGAAATAAAACAGAGCCATGCCCCTATATCATGCCATGTGTGCATGCTGAGTTGCTTCAGTCATGTCCGACTCTTTTCTACGCTATGGACTGTAGCCCACCAGGCTCCTCTGTCCATGGAATTCTCCAGGCCAGAATAGTGGAGTGGATTGCCATTTCCTCCTCCAGGGGATCTTCCTGACCCAGGGATTGAACCTTCATCTCCTGCTTGACAGGCAGATTCTTTACCACTGAGTCACCAGAGAAGTCTGCCAGAGTGTATACACATATTTGTAAATATTTCATATGTAATTATTCATACCTATATTAAGCTAAACATGAGTTCACACAGATGTCTTCAAGTCTGCTCCATCACCACTTGAATCATCCTAGCTTCCTCCCACCTTACTGATCTACAAAGTTGGATGAACAGTTTTATCCAAAGAAATAACAAATATTTGAAGAAAACTTGGAGATTTATTTAGGTGTAGGAGAACATTTTGAGGGGTCAAGGTGCCTTTCTCGAATTAGAGACACAAAATCCAGGAGCCATTAAAGAAGATAGACATGATAGGCTATATGGATTGTTTAAATTTCCAACATAAAGAAAGTCAAATGACACACTCTAAACTTGGAAAAAGTGTTCACAACTCATACATGTAGGAGTGATATTCCTAATACATCAAGAGTTCTTATAAGATAAAAGTCTGATTGAAGAAAAGATGGACAAAAGATGTGAACAAACAACTCACAAAGAGAAAATTTAAACGTTTATTAATAGTAAATGAAAAGAAGTTTAGCCTCGCTGGTGGTGATGAAAGCAATTACAGTAACAATAAGATACTGTTTCCATTCTTTAGATTAAAAATTAAAGGAGTAATAACATTGTATGGGGCTTTCCCAGATGGCTCAGTGGTAAAGAATCTTCCTACCAAGCAGGAGACAGACACAGGTTTGATCCTTGGGTCAGGAAGATCCTCTGGAGGAGGAAATGGCAACCCACTCCAGTATTCTTGCCTGGAGAATCACATGAACAGAGGAGGCTGGGGGATACAGTCCATGGGGTGGCAGAAGAGTCAGATACAACTTAGTGACTAGACAGCTTTTCCCTGGTAGCTCAGCTGGTAAAGAATCTGCCTGCAATGCAGTATACCCCAGTTCAATTCCTGTGTCAGGAAGATCCCTTGGAGAAGGGATAGGCTACCCATTCCAGTATTCTGGCCTGGAGAATTCCATGGGTACAGCCCATGGGGTTGCAAAGAGCAGCTTTCACTTTCATGTCACTAAGGACTGGGAAACAAGTCATTTTCAACTTTCCTGGTGGGAATTGAGTTACTGGAACCCTTTTAGAGAGAAATTTGGAGGAAGATTTTAAAGGCAAAACACACATACCTTTTGACCTAGCAATCCTTAATTTTGGAGTTTATCATATCCCATGGATGGAGGAGCCTGGTAGGCTACAGTCCATTGGGTTGCTAAGAGTCGGACACGACTGAGTGACGTCACTTTCACTTTTCACTTTCATGCATTGAAGAAGGAAATGGCAACCCACTCCAGTGTTCTTGCCTGGAAAATCCCAGGGACAGGGGAACCTGGTGGGCTGCCGTCTATGAGGTCTCACAGAGTTGGACACGACTGAAGTGACTTAGCAGCAGCAGCACCATATATAAATAGAAGTACTGATTCATTAGGTTTAAAGTCCAAGAATGCCTAGGCAGCATTGTTTATGGAGGCAAATCTGGAAATTACCTGAACGTTTAGCAACAGAAAAATGATATGCCTTTACTATGGAATATGACACAGCTATTAAAATATTAATTAGATAAACAACTTATTGGCCTGGAAGAATTTTCATAAAGCATCATAAAATGAAAAAAGATTATTGCAGAATAGTGCATTTGGTACAATATTTTTGGTAACAACCAGCAACAATGACAGCAACAATAACCCTCTATATGTACATTTTTTAGTTTAAACAAGAGTCTAGAAAGAGGATGCATTAGGTTGAACTTTCCCATAATTAGACCCTGAGGTAAGGATTTAAATGCAAATAGTCTATTTGGGGGGTGATCCTAGGAAGCTTTGTCAGGGAAATAGAAAAGTGAGGTGGGGAAGGATGGAAACCAATGCAGGGTGCATGAGTGAGCAGGCATGGCTGTGGGCAACTGGTGCTCAGTCTCACCAGGGATTTCTAAGTGACTGTGGAGCACACCTCAAAGTTCTCTCACCCGGGCGGGAGCTGAGGAATGTGGCACTGCTCCCTGCCAGTTCAGCCAGGATATGGCATCATTTCTTATTTTGGCTGAGTGAGGGAGTTTCAGAAGCTTCCACTTAGCCATTTCTATCATAAGCTTTTACTTGTTATGTGAGGGAATAATTTTTTTAGAATATTTATTTACTGAGTTATTTATATGGCTGCACCAGGTCTTTGTTGTGGCATGTGGGATCTAGTTCCCTGACCACAGATTGAACTTGTGTCCCC